ACAATCATTCCAAAATTATTCTTCGTATTCTGGACTATTATGTTCTATGTATTCCGGAGTGATTCCACTATTTTAGAATCACTTATAATGGTTAATAAACACTTATTTCCTCTTGAAGAAGTGGCACTAACACATTTTCAAGTAGTTATATCGTTCTTATATAGCTAAAACTAAAAGGGAAATCTTCAGAAAAGTCTCAATATTTACGGAAAAGTTACACTTTAGTCCCAAGATTTTTTTTTGAACGAAAAAGTCCTGAAAACCGGCAAAAATTTGCAGTTTGACCCTTTTTGACCGGTTGAAACCGGTACCAAACTAATTTGGGACTATTTCGTAAACTAATCCAAAATATTGGGATTTTTCAGTAAACAAAAAATATTAGGACTTTTCTGTAAACAAAAATATTAGGACTTTTCTATAAACAAAACCTTAATTATTATTATTGTTATTATTATTATTATTATTATTATTATTATTATTATTATTATTATTATTATTATTATTAAAAATATAAATAAGAATACTATTTTTTGAACTTGTTATTTTTAATATTATTACTAATACATATAAATGCATTAAATGAAAAAAATATTATTAATAACATTGTTTAAGGGTGGAGGTGGAAGAGATGGTGATGTTTTTAGTATTGAAATCGTGAATGTCTACTTGTATATTTTTACTTTGTATATGGTCATTTCATATTTGTTATTATTGTTTTCAATTCAGAATATTAATATTTAACAATTTGAAAGAAGTTGCATATTAATAGTTTAAGGTAGTAGAGTTTCTCATTTTGTATATAAAATTGTTTAAGGTTGAAGAATTACTTTCCAAATCCAACAAATCCACTACAAACATCTACATAAGTAACCTATATTAAAATTCGAAAGTATTAATTACAATATTTTGTTTAACAAAAAGTAATAGGAATAATTCAAAAGTATTATTCAAAATTCAAAAGTATTAATCCAAAAAACATGTCCTATTACTTTTTATTGAACAAGATATTGTAATTAATATTTTTGAATTTTGATATGGGCTACCTATGTAGATGTTTGTAGTGGATCTGTTGGATTTGGAAAATAATCCTTCTACTGTAAACATTTTTATATACAAAGTGAGAAATCCTTCTAACTTAAACTATTTATAAAGAATTTTACAAATATGCAACTTCTTTTAAATTGTTAAGTATTATTATTTTTAATTGAAAACAATAACAACAAATGTGAAATGGCCATATAAAAAGTAAAAATATACAAGCAAACATGCATGATTTCAATGCTAAAGGCAGCAACATCTCCTCCACCTCCACCCTTAAACAATGTCATTAATATTATTTTTTCATTTAAATACATTTATATGTATTAGTAACAATATTAATAATAACAAGTTCAAAAAAAAGTATTCTTATTTATATTTTTAATAATAATAATAATAATAATAATAATAATAATAATAATAATAATAATAATGATGATGATGATGATGATGATGATGATGATGATGATGATGATGATGATGATAATAATAATAATAATAATAATAATAATAATAATAATAATAATAACAATAATAATAATTAAGGTTTTGTTTATAGAAAAGTCCTAATATTTTTGTTTACAGAAAAGTCCTAATATTTTTTGTTTACTGAAAAATCCCAATATTTTGGATTAGTTTACGAAATAGTCCCAAATTAGTTTGGTACCGGTTTCAACCGGTCAAAAAGGGTCAAACTGCAAATTTTTGCCGGTTTTCAGGACTTTTTCGTTCAAAAAAAAAATCTTGGGACTAAAGTGTAACTTTTCCGTAAATATTGGGACTTTTCTGAAGATTTCCCAAACTAAAAAACATGCAAAATTTAGATATTCGGTTCCTTATATTCCGAAATTGTTCTACACATTCCAAAATACATAAAAATGTTTCAAAAGTAAAATGCAAGTACATTAAAAGGTGGAACTCTTCTGTTTTGTTGAATCCATGGTAGATAAGCTTAAAAATCTATGTCCGAAATGCTCGTAGCTAGAGCTTCCGAATTTCACTTTCCGAAATGCTTATTCCAGTTTTTAAGTGGCCCCTTATATTTAGCATTAGGCTTGGGTTCGTTTTTTTTTTCTCAAAAACATGGTGTTTATTATTTTTAAAAATAAACTAAAATGTGGTTAGTTTACTCAATTTCCTACAAGAATAATATAAAATGTCATAATCCACATAAATTTTTAGTATTGTAATAAAATTTTTTGGTGATTTTATCACCAAAAATATTTTAGTGTAATGGACTTAACAAGTGTTTCAAGAATAATGTTCTAGTTATAATACAAGTCAGGAGGTGTGGGAGTGCACGCTTGTATTTACTAAACATTGTTAGTACCGAACCCTAATCTATAGTACAATGACTAATTTGTCATTCTTGAAAGATGGAAACTGTTTTGATTTATCCCTTGTTGGATAAGTCAGGAAAAACGACTCTTGGTTTTGGAACACAGATAAGAAACGAAAAACACTTTTCTCTTCATCTTTTTAAAATTGATTCTGATTTTGTGCCTAAAATCAGAATTGTTACATCAGGAATTATCCCAGTTTGGATTTCGTGATACCCAAGGCATATAGGGTCGAAATATCAAACAAGGAAAGTGTTTTACACAATTCCTGCTTGTTATCCAGATTTCTCAATACTTAATTCGAATTTCCCCAACAATCTTGTTTGATATTTTCGTTTTCTGGAAAAGATGGCTGACAATTCACTAAAAGACATGAATACTTCATTTGGCAAATTGGAGAAATTTCAGGGCCAAGATTTCAAACGTTGGCAAAAGAAGATGGACTTCTGGTTGACCACTTTGAAGGTTGTCTATGTTCTTTCTACTCCAAAACTAGAAGAGGTTGAAGATGCAAGTATGGAACAGATCTGAAGGAGAAGCAAATGGGAGAATGACAACTACATCTGCCTTGGTCACATTCTGAATGGTGTGTGTGATTCCCTCTTCGACACTCATCAAAATATTGAAACAACCAGTGAATTATGGAACACACTTAAAGCAAAATATACTGCTGAAGATGCTTCAAGTAAAAAGTTCATTGTTTCTGATTTCAACAATTATATAATGGTTGATTCTCAATCTGTAATGGAACAATATAATGAAATCCTACGAATTTATGGTCAATTCAAACAACACAATATGTCCATGGATGAATCCTTTGTTGTTTCATGTGTGATTGATAAACTTCCACTCTCATGGAAAGATTTCAAGCACCATCTAAAACATAGAAAGGAAGAGATAAGTTTGATTCAACTTGGGAGTCATTTGAAAATCGAAGGACTTCGTGATCAAGAGAATGACAAAGGAACTGGAAAGGGCAAATCTGAATTTGGACAACCCCAAGTTCATATGGTTGATTATGATAAAGAAGACAATTCTAATCACAAGGGCAAAGGTAAAAACATAAATATGAGGGTAACAACAAAAAGTCCAACAAAAAATACAAGGATTCCAATGAACTTGTGTGTTGGAGATGTCATCTGAAAGGGCATATGAAACGTGATTATCGGGTGAAACTTGGAAATAAAGGTGCTAGTAGTAGTGGAAAAGAGGGTACTAGTGGTGGTAGTGGGTTTCATGATCAATCTGCAACCAAAGGCCAATTTACTATTGATTTTGTAAATTCAATATTTAATGTTATGCTACTAACCCCAAAAGTTTCTTTTATACATGGGGCTGATACAGATTCATGTTGGCTTGATACCTGTTCTACACATCACGCGTGTAATGATGAACGATGGTTCACGAAGTTGAACATAGTAAATAAAGGTTTTATCTTACACATGGCAGATGAAGGATCAAAGCCAATTTTAGGAACTGGTGTTGTTAGTATTACGTTACTTCTGGCAAAACAATTAGTTTGTTTGATGTATTATATGTTCCAAAGGTTCGAAAGAACATTATGTCTAGTGGTTTGTTGAATTGTATGGGTTATAAACAAGTTATCGAGTCGAACAAGTATGTGTTGTCTAAATGTGGAATATTTGTGGGATTTGGTTATTATTGTGACCGTGTTTTTAAGTTAAATGTTATAAGTTGTTTTGCATCACATGTCAAATCTACTTTTATGACTTCTGCATCAAATCTTGATATTTCTATGTTATGGCATAATAGATTAGGACATGTTAATGTTAAGAGAATGGTTGAAATGTCAAAATCCGGATTGATTCCAACTTTTGACATTAATTCTGAAAAATGCAAAACTTATATGTTAACTAAAATCACGAAACAACCGTTTCCAAACATTAATAGAAAATCAGAAGTGTTGGAATTGATTCATAGTGATCTCTGTGATTTTCATGCTACACCTTCCTTGGGAAATAAAGAGTTTACTTTTATTGATGGTTCAAGTCGGTTTTGTTATGTGTATTTATTACATTCCAAAAATGAAGCTTTGGAAAAGTTTAAAGTATACAAAAGCGAAGTCGAATTACAGTTGGGTATTTCGATAAAATGTACAAGGACTAATTTGTCATTCTTGAAAGATGGAAACCGTTTTGATTTATCTGTTGTTGGATAAGTCAGGAAAAACGGCTCTTGGTTTTGGAACACAGATAAGAAACGAAAAACACTTTCTCTTCATCTTCTCAAAATTGATTCTGATTTTGTGCTTAAAATCAGAATTGTTACATCATGAATTATCCAAGTTTGGATTTTGTGATAACCAAGACATATAGGGTCGAAATATCAAACAAGGAATCTGTTTTACACGATTCCTGTTTGTTATCTAGATTTCTCAATACCTAATTCGAATTTCCCCAACAAAATTTGAATACTATACATACTAGTGAAAAAAGTATATTGCTCTTTACTATAATTTATCATCTTTTAATTAAAATTTCTATTTATATTTAACTTGCAATTCAAGTATATTTTATACACGTCTCTACATTTAAGTCAAAATTTGCCGTTTTGGTGGGATTATTTAATAATATTCTGGATGTGCATTGGCGTCACACCAAACACGTTATTCCGCCAAAGGCGTTGAGGTTTTAGTATTTTGACTTTCTTTTCTTGTTTTTTTGTGTGCAAATGGCTTCACCAAAATTCGGTCAACTTGTATTCGATCCTTCAAATCACCAACTTCGAATTGAAGTCAATATCTACGATTCTTCAGAATTCCCGAATTTTTCCCTCAATTGAATTTTGCATTCATTGATACGTTCAACTACCTACGAATTGCAAAAATTAAACCTTAGGGTTGAACTATAATCAATTCAACAGTGAAAGGTTGCTTCTTACAATGCTTAACAAGAGATTCAAGATAGCTAAATGGTAAGCTTACAGTTTCAGTTTACGAAAATTTCTCGATGTATTGTAATTGTCTGAGGGTTGACTTTGATTGATGCAGCAAGACGTCGTTAAAATTAGCGACTTCGCGAATTAAGCTGTTGAAGAACAAGAAATTAATACAGATTAATCAAATGAAGAGGGAGTTAGCTCAATTACTGGAGTCAGGACAGGATCGAACTGCTAGAATTCGAGTAAGTATTCTGATTTACGATGAATGGAATTCAAAAGCTCTGTTTCATAGAAATCGTATTCCAGATTCGATTTTGATTGACGTGATTATCATATAATGTCTGAATATGCGATTCATTTGTTTGTATATAAATACTGATGTTTAGGAATTGTATTAGGTTGAACATGTAATCAGGGAAGAGAAGATGATTGCAGCATATGAATTGATCGAGATATATTGTGAACTCATTGTAGCACGTTTGCCTATCATTGAATCACAAAAGTAAGCTACCTTACAAACTTGCAAATCCTGTTATTTTCACTTGAAATGTAGTAGAAGTTGCAAATTAAACAATCTTTTGGTGAAATTTGTCATAGAACTTGCCCTATTGATCTGAAGGAAGCAATCACAAGTGTGATATTTGCAGCTCCTAGATGTTCAGACATTCCAGAACTTGTTGATGCTCGAAAAAACTTTACAGCAAAATATGGAAAAGAGTTTGCTTCTGCAGCTCTTGAGTTGCGTCCTGATAGTGGTGTAAACCGCATGGTATGTTATTTTTAAAAAATAATAGTTCCAAATTTCTCAATAAAAGAACAAAATGTTCATTTTCTTATAGTATTATTTCCAATTTTTCAGATGGTTGAGAAGTTATCTGCTGTTGCACCTGATATTCAGACAAAACTGAAAGTATTAAGTGCTGTAGCAAAAGAACACAATGTCAATTGGGATTCAACTTTATTTGAAGAGGCAGAATCTAAACCTAAGGATGACTTATTGGTGAGTTGAAATTTTGCTTTTTGAATTATCTTTTAGAACTCTTTGATGAAACTTGAATCTTTTCTGTAGAATGGATCTGTGAATTTTGAGAATGCGAGCATGATGAATGTTGATTCTCCCAAAATCCAAAGTTCAAATATCCAAAATGTGCAGAGTCATATACAAAAGCTGAATGTAACTGATGATTTCACTCAGCAAAATAGAAGATACACATTAGGTTCTCAGAATATTACCTCAGATGATACAAACCCTTCAGGTATACATATTCATTATAACAATAAGTTAATTTTTTATAACATGATAATGTTATTGGGTTCATGGATTAAATGCTATTATTTCACCTTTTTTTTAATTAGGAATGGCATCTGAGATGATGAACAAGAGGCATTCGTTCCATACCAACACCAACAATGCTTCATCAGGTAGGGAGAACAACTGGAACATGGAATTCAAAGATGCCACGTCAGCAGCACAGGCAGCAGCTGAGTCAGCAGAACGTGCCAGCATGGCTGCTAGAGCAGCTGCAGAACTCTCGAGCAAGGGCAAGATTGGAAGCCCAAAAGTTTCAACTACTTCAGAAGTTTTTAATCAACATCAATTCAAAGCTTCATTTAATAATAACTCATTCAATAACAGAAACTCAAAGATACAGAAGAATCCACAAACAGATCAAAGTGAACATGATACTTCACCAAAATCTAGAATCAGAAAGCAAACGAGTCATCAACAAGATGTGTTTGTTTCTCATCAACAAAAAGTTAGTCAAAGAACTGTTGTTGACCAAGGAAACTTTTCTAGAGATGATGAAACGGATTCCGATGATGATGAAAACCCTAAATTCGATACAGGATTTGAGTATAATGAAGGAGATGCCAAGTCATTTTTCCCATCTCCAGATAGAGAAGAATCTAGTCATCCACTACAAAATACACACATTTCGAGCCCTAAACAAAAAACACAAAAAGTTAATTCTAGGAAAACACGAATTGAGTTGAATGATTTGGTCGAAAAGGATTCCAGGGTTTCACTCAGAAACGAGAAAAAGAAAAAAGATACAGAAATAGAACCACAAATTGTTGAAAAAAATAGCGAGTTTTTGAATCAAGGTGATGATTTGGATACTGGGAAAGAGTTAAAGTTTGGGACATTGACAGGTGGACTTCGGAACAGTGGTGGTCTTAAGTACACACCCCATACGAAGGGTGGAATCACTGATTCCTTTCCTTTGTCAAAACCGAATTTTTTCAATTCAAAAGAAAGTGGATACAAAAACAAAAAACAGAGTGTTTCTATGTCAAGTTCGGAATCGGAATTGGAATCAGATGATCAGAGTGACAAATACGTTAAAAGTAGCACAGTAAACGATTCCTCCTCATCTTCATTCAAAAAGTTGGTTGGCCAGACATCTAAACCGAGTTCTTTCAATTCAAGAGCAAGCGGAATGGAAAAGAAAGAACCGAGTGTTTCTATGTCAAGTTCGGAATCGGAATCAGATGATAAAAGTGACAAAACAGTTAAAAATAGATCGCGATTCGCACCTCCGGATGTGTTCTTTAACGATGGCGGAATCACTGATTCCGATGAAGAAGTTGTACTGGCTACAAAACCGACTTCCACAGGGTTGTCTCGTAGGACAAAGGGTTATGTTGAGGCCGAGGGTAAGACAGTAATTTCCAAGGCCAGTATGCATCCTTCTACAAATGAATCTCCAACTAAAAGGATTTCTGAACATCCTCGTAAGAAGATTGTGGAATCAGGAAAATCGGAATCACCAAAAGCCTCGAATCTGAGCTCCCAAACTTCACTTGAAGGAAATGATGTAAAGAAACCAAGTCATGTTCATCCAAAGCTTCCTGATTATGACTCTCTAGCTGCTCGTATTCAGTCTCTACAAGCAAATCATCGATGAGTATACTAATAGTTTCATACACACATGATTGGGTGATTATTTTATTTTAATTTTTTTTTAATATATATTCTGAGGTATGCAACTGCATGTATAAACGCTTCGTTATTTATTTTAAGATACGCACATGATCTATTCAATTTGTTGGTTTATTTTTCGAATAGGAGATGATTATTTTTTAAGATGCATAGTAAGTTTGAAATAAGAAAGATTGTGATAAAACTTCATTTGGTGTTCCTATGAACACAGGAACATGCAGATGTTTGATTCACTTCTTTATTTTTTTTAATGTATAGTAAATCGTTTATTGATTCTTCGTATGCATGATATTAAACTATGATGTTCTTGTATCAATGGTGTTTTGTAAATTTTAATTCAGAACTAAACTAATTGTCTGTATTTGGTTTATAGATTTGACCAAAATGGTAGGGATTAGTTTGTGAATTTGAATTTGACAACTCAAGCTTGTTAGTGTTAAAGTTATTTTTCATGAATGTCACCGGCTCCTAAAAGCCTTACAGTACAAGAAACGCGAAAATTGGTAGCAATGTTGTCGCCGCTAATAATATATGCGGCTTATCCGATCCAAAATACTAATCCAAGCATAGTGCAATATATCTAAAATACTAACCCAAACAAAACATTTCATAAATCCTATAAAGGTAGTTACTTGTCCTCATCACCCCCCTCATTTCCTTGGTTTTCATTTCGTTGCGGCAACGATCGAAACCAGAGTGTCGCACTACATGCCGAGTCTTTTAGCGTTGTTCGTAGCATTTCTAACTACAAAGAATACAAAATATATTACCAACATATCATAATATTATTGTACTTTTAAAATATTACCAAACTACAAATACCAACATATCAAACTATAACCAAACTGCATCCTACACAATATTGCATATACATTATAGCATTCTACTTTTTTTTTTTTTTTTTTTTTTAAATTTCCATTATATCATTGTACTATACTAAACTAAAAATTACGAACATATCATTATAGCATTCTACTTTCCAAATACACTTTAACATACATCATACATAATATTGCGTATACATTATAACATTTTACTTTTTTTTTTTTTTTTTTTTTTTTTTTTCATTTTTCCACTATAGCAGTGTATTTTCCAAAAATTACCAAACTACAAAATATCAACATATCAAACTATAACCAAACTACATCATACACAATATTGCATGTACATTATAACATTGTACTTTTTTTTTTCTTTCATTTTTCCACTATGGCATTGTACTATAACTAAATGAACAATTACCAAGCTACAAAATACCTATATATTAAATTATAACCAAACTACATCCTACACAATTTTGCTTATACATTATAACATTGTATTTTTTTTTTCATTCTTCCATTATACAATTGTACTATACTAAACTAACAATTACCAACATATAAACATAGCATTCTACTTTACAAATTAAAGTCATGATGATTATGGCATCCTACTTTTTTTTTTTTTTTTTTTTTTCCATTATAACATTGTACTTTTCAAATGGACTTAAACTAACAATTACCTGTGATTGTGGTGGTGGTTGTGTCGGTGGTTGTTCCTGATCGTACATAGACACAACCGTAGAAGGTTTATGCCTGATGCCTCTTATATGGCCACGTCGAGAACCCAATATTCTCTTGCAACAATTTTTTATATCCTATAGTGTTAGATCGCTTGCTTCAGAAGTAGCTTGAGTTTGTTGATTGATCTCTTGGAGTAAAGCATTCTGTACATATCAACATCGCCTTATTTTTTACTTAGTTTTTTTAGTTTTTTCATATACCTTTCAAATGAATATATACATACCGGGCCTTAGAAAATCGCTTCATCAGGTAAATGCAAAACTAAATGAATCATAATGTCAAAAGAGGTTGGAGGATAAATCAACTCTAACTTGCACAAGATTGTAATAATGTCTTCTTTTGCTTTCCTCATATCCTCCTCCTTTAGTGTTATGGAGAAAATTTGCTTGAAAAATGTACAAGGATCTACAATTGGTGTAGAAGTTTCATTGTCCAATAATGCTCTAACACCAATCGGTATCAAACGTTGCATAAGAATGTGATAGTCATGTGATTTCAGCCCAATAATGTGAGTATCATTATCTACCACTTTCTTACTAATTTAGATCCAAACCAATCTACCAGTTTAACATCTCTTATAAATTGACAAAAGATTTTGCAGTCAGGTTTTTTGAAAGAGTATCTTGCAGGTGGTCTAGCAAACTTGTTACCACCTTCTTTGCAACCGTTGATTACGCTAGATATTTAGATTTCTCAAGTCATCTTGTGCATTTGATGTATCTTTACTCTTATCATTCATCAGAGAATTACCCAAAACACTCTCAACCATATTTTTCTCGACATGCATCACATCTATGTTGTGCTTCAGCTGTAGAGAAGGCTAATACTCAATTTCGAAAATTATGCTACATTTCAACCTGTTCAAATCAAATCCTTGTCAACCTATCGTTTCCTTGAAAATCTTAGGATGTTTACCCGGTTTACAAAGTAGTAGATGACCTAGTTGCTCTTGTATGGCTTCATTAGTACAATGTCTCGTAGCGGGTCTTAACTCGTGTTGCCCGATGAATTCCAAACTCATCCTTAATGGATTATTAGCATCTAAGAACTGAAGATGACCAGCATAAAAGACTTTATTTGTTACACGGTACGAGGGAGTGTCTTCATTGCAAGTCGGGCATGCTCTATACCATTTACCTCTCTAACCTGATAAACTACTACGAGCTAGAAAGTTGTTTATGCTCCATAACAATATAGCTTTCATCGTGACGAATGTATTTGTCGTTGCGTCTTTAATATGTACGCTTGAGCACAAAAACTGAAGTTATTACACTAACGGCCTAAGGAAAACATCCATGTCCTTTCCAAGTGCTTAAGGCCGGAAATCAACAAGGCAAACATGAAAGATGACTCTTTCATACAAAGCCATGGTGGCAGATAGTATGTGGTGAGTACGATCGAACATGTGCTACGTAGATTACACATGTTACCAAATGGATTAAAGATGTCAGTTGCAAGCCCTAGGCATACGTTTCAAGGTTCACTCGAGAAGTCAGGGTAACCTACATCAAATTTTTTCCATGATTATCCATCAAAAAGATTACGCATCACGCCATCTTCTAATCTCCCATTACTATGCCAAATCATATTTTTGGAAGTGTACCTTGAACAATACAAACATCGTAGTCTAGGGATCACTAGAAAGTAAGGTAACACCTTATGAGCTTACCCTTGATGTTCTTATCAATCCACAAACTCTCTTTAAAAATGGGACAAATATGCAATGACTTGTGTTCCTTCCAGAAGAGAAAATAGTCATTTTTGCATACATGTGTTAACTCATACCCCAAACTTATCTTCTTCAGTTTTATTGGCTAGATAATATAAACGGGGAACCTTGTTGTCTTGTACAAATGTTGAATGCAACAAATCATGGAGTTAATCAAATAAACTATCAGTCCATTTGTTGTTCACCTTGATATGTATCAACTTTACTAAAAAATCAAAGGAAGAAAATGTACAAGCAATATATATCTTGGTTTCGACTTCCTCTAACTGTACAAAATCATCATCAACGTCGCTACCCTGTATTCGAGGTTCCTTTATCAAGGTTGGTATCATTTTATCTCGACTCCCATATAAAATCGTTGATAACATCAAACATCTCGTTACTTGGCGCTACGACATCTATAGTCGGAGGAATTAAAGGTTCAACATGATATGTCCATGTTTTGTATGACTAAATGAAACCATGTATACGTACATGATGTCTCATTGTTCTCGGATCCATGACGTAACGACTATCACATATTAATGATGTGGATTAGTTTTCCATCATTTATCAATAGACATGATGCTACTGAAACATAGTTTAGTGTTTAGGGTTTACTCTATGTGAAACAAAAATCAGATAGAGTATTCATAACGTCGATGATTTAAAAAGTTTCGCTGACACGGGAACAAATAATTGGAACTGATAGAGTGTTCACAAAGGTAGACTTCTAAACCCACTTTTTGAATACTTTATCTAATATGTGAAAGTATATTACATGATTTTATGTTTAAGTAAAACTCGGTAACATTTCCCCTTAGCAGCCAAGTGTATATATATATATATATATATATATATATATATATATATATATATTGCCGAGGAGCAAAGAGAAAACGATAACTGAATCTTTCTTAAACAAACAATCATGTAGTACACGTTCACATCCTAAATGAGATAAAGTTTTCAAAAAAGCAGTCCCAAAACAAGGACAACTCGAAATTAATTTCTAAATAAATTTCAGGTGGATATTTCTAGGCTCATGATGATTACAAAGAAGACTTGCAAACAAATAGCATTTGGAAGATTTTTATTTAATTTATAGCATCTTAATTTTATATATTTTTGTTATTTATGGCATTTGATTGTGTATTAAGTTTTCTATAATAACATTGTACTTTAAATATTATATTGTTTTTTCTATTTGAGCATTGTACTCTTGAATATAATCTTTTATTTATAATATCATATTTTATCCTATGACAACATTGTACTTTACAATATTTTTGTTATTTATGGCATTTTTTGTTTTAAGTTTTCTATAATAACAATGTACTTTAAATTATATATATATATATATATATATATATATATATATATATATATATATATATTTCTATTTAAGCTTTATACTTTTGCATATATATATATATATATATATATATATATATATATATATATATATATATATATATATTTGTTTATAGTATCATATTTTATTGTAACACCTGGATCTTGAGGTACTTTATTTGTAATTAAAATTTACATTTTGAGGTTGCCATGACGTGGTAGAGGCACCACCACGATGTGGCGAAGCGAGAAGGATTCACGTGTTTCATTTAAGGCACCACGGCGTGGCAGTGTCGGCCACGACGTGGTGGACGACTTAGGTGAAAACCCTATTTTTTC